TAAAATAGTCTATAAATAAATAAAAACTCCATATATTATATTATTTCTCTTTCCAACTCAAGACTTCTTCATTCTTCCAACTCTTGTAGGAAATTAGCATGTCCGCGCCTTAGCTCAAATTCGTCTCTTTCGCTCTTCAATCATCATAAAATCACAAAGTTCGAGATATCCTACAAAAATATAAAAATCAATTAAAATCAGTAATAAAGCTCAAACAAACACCGAAAAGTATGGAAAACATGACAATTATCATGCCAAGAATACGACTTATCATGTGCCCTCGAGTTTTCGTGATAACTTAGCGATGACATTCGAACGAAACTCACATACTTCGCAAGCGAATAAAGATAAGCAGAAACAAAAGGATGCTTAATCTTACTTGCAATCGGGTTTTTCAAAAACAAGGTCCATACCCAACTTAGGATAAACAAGAATTGGCTAAACTTCAAGAGAAGCGAATTTTAGAGTTGGAAAGCTTGAAAAATTGCTTACACAGCGAAACCCAGGTAGCGGTTTGAACACGGATATACCCCAAACAAAACGAGAAGTAGAATTAGGTCGATCGTAAACCTCCAGTGTCTATTGCTCGCCGCCTATCTCAAAGCTACTTTATTCCCAAGAACTGCAACATTATTCGCTCTCTTGAACTTTTGCATCGAGTTAGAGTCATCACGAAACAAGTTTCAAAAGATAAGGATCAATAAAAATGTCGATGCTCAATTTCTATATGAAGTTCTACGCCAGTTAGGGGAAGATGAAGCAAAATTCTCAAAATACAAAAATTGGATAACAAAAAGAAGCCTCAAGCACAATTCAAAATTGTTTGCCATGCGAATGGGAAAAAAGGTTTGCAAGAGTCTACAAAAAGACAAAAATTTAAGAAAGGAAACACGACTGCTTTGCCTTTACGAGTCCATGATTTACTACCTTCACTATCAATTATTGTTGTCCCTGGTAAGTCCCGCTGTCACTAGGAAATCACTCGTGGCTCAAAATACGGAAGAGAACTTTCGATGTCTCCTTCAAGACAAAAATTTCACTTGAAATTGCGGCATAAAATATTCACGCGGTGCCGGATCGGTCTATCCGCCTTAAGAACAAGGTCGGATTTCTTCGTTTGAGAATTTTCGCAAAAGGATGGTCACTATCGCCTTTCTCGAGGCTTAGCCACTCTCGAGAGTCGGGACGATGGAACGTTTTAAGTTTTTCCCTCCACTCCACGGGGTCAAACAGCAGCATGCACAAGGCATCTAGACTCTACTCCCAGTTCGCATTCGAATGGGTTTAACACGCTACTGACAACGGTTACAGACTTTCGAATAACCTATGCACCTGGGACTTCTTCGGTCGTCTGTTCCCTTTACTGAAGCCTTCTCCTTTCGAGATGGCTTGCGAATGGTCCTCACTTGAAGACACTAAATTTTTGCATCGAGAGGACTGCTACAACAGAACACAACTCGATGACATCCTACCGAATTTTCCCAAGAAATAAGTCCTCAAATCAGAACTTAACTCTATACCGCTAGAGTTCAAATCTATATATACGGAGGTTCGCAATCCTTCTAGAGTTCAAAATGATTAAAAGCAGGAGGATAAATTCCTAGGCCCCGGTTTACATCTCATAATATCATAATACTTCACATAAGCAAACAATATTACTCAAGTATTCATACCTGAGTTGGCGCGCGGCACGACGGAAGCGAGTGGTTATACTATCTCATAATATCCAAGTATTTCACAGAGTTCACATAATTCATGCATACCAGTCTACAGAAAACGCAGACTGGCTCTGATACCACACTGTAACGCCCCACTTTGATTTTAAAGAAATTCCAGACTTTCAAAAAAATCAACTTTAAATTTTTGAAACTTATTCCAAATACAATTATGGCGTTACTCATTTTCAAAATCAAACATCAATAGTCGATATAATTTCAATCATAAATTCAACTCCCAAAATGGGTTTCCTTATAATATCATCAATCACCCAAATACGGGTTCCAACAATCATCATAGTATCTAAAGAGCATCTCCTTAACATTATTCAACCATAATAATATCCATAAATCAAATATTCTATATTATCCCAAGTTCATAATTCATAAAATCAGTTCATAATGCGGAAGCATAACCAATAATAAAACGGTCTCATAGACCGACTACCACTCGCTCTACTCCACCGTCGTGCCCGCCTTGCTTAACATGAAACGTTAATTTCAGGTGGGAGTGAGCACAAATGGAAACCGTAGTGCTCACCACTATGCAGGAAACGTAAATCAATATATAAAAACAGTTATCATAAAATAAGTCAGGTATGGTCGCAGCATGTATACGAAACAATTAATTATCCCAATATCCCTTCATAAATCATAAATCAAGACTCATGTGCACACCTACGCATAGACTACTGCCGACTATATATCGAAAGCCACGGCCATAGCCTTTTGGTCTTACAACGAGTGCCCAGCCAGTAGGAGTAAAACCACCCCGCCGGCCAAGGCCTCGCCTTGGTCTTACAACGGGGATCACCAGCCAAGGGCCCGAGCCCTGGTCTTACGGCCCACCATAATATAAGGAGACTACCCATCGGGTACGTTCTATAGCTACGGGGATAAGCGTTCGACGGCTGGTACAGCTCGCATCGAAGGCTACATGGTTCACATGCATACATTGATCATACCACACGTAAGGCAACAATTTACTGCATAGCAATTTCAAATAAAACCCACCTGGAAAATCAGATAGAAAAAGCACACAAATAGCTCGGTAGATCGATGAGGCTCGACTCCTCAAAAACCTACATTTAATCAAGATAATCTCATAAATATATTATCTTGATATTTACAATCATTAAAGACGCACACTTAATCAAAATAATGATTCAGGAATTTTATCGAAATTTTTCGTGAACTTGGAACTCTCACATTCTTTTGAAAAATAGAACTCGGAGGACTAAATTAGAGTCTCGGGACTTAAAATTGAAATTGAAATCGGTATTAAAAATAGCTTCTGGTACACAAAATGGCCAAAAAGGGCCGCACTGGTCCAGCTGGGTGATGAGCTGCTCCGAAATTAGGCTTTCCACGCGATTGGGCAGGAGAAAAACATCAAAATGTGCCGTACTCAAAGGCTGTTACCAGCTGAGGGTCTCGCAGGCTTGGATCGGGCCACTCGCTGGCCGCAGGTGCTGAGAAGAGACTTCTGCGCGCGGGCCAGAAGCGGGCTGGACGCGGCCTGCGCAGTTCTATGGGAAAAATGGGAAAAAGAAAAATGGCTACAAGGCCTGGGTTCAAACACGGAACCTCACTCACGAAAGTAGCGTAGAACACCACTGGACCACCTGACTCTTTGTGAAAAAGAAAGAAAATTTGGACCCCTAAAAATAAACCGGTGGCTTGCGACTGAACAGAAAAGAAAGCAAACAAGGGCAGGGAAAATCTGAACAGAGTTTGCGTTATGCGAACAGGTTGAACAAACTCGACAAAATTTGACGACTACTTCTCCAACAACAGCCAGGTTTCGAGAAACGAATAAACTTTTGAAAATTACACTTTACTGGAGTTCGAAATTGTTATAAAAACCGGCTTTTAGGCTCGAAAAACGAAACGACGAAATTACGACTCGAAAGTCAAAACGAACGACGAGGGTTCGAAATGCTTAAACAAGTCCCCGAAATCAAACGAATAATCACAGCGGCAGCAACGATACTCGATTTAATGAAATTGAGTGTTCCAATCAATGTTTTAAATACCGTACCGGTGACCATACCGGATGAGCCACTGGTACGCGGTTCAACCGGTTTAACCGGTAAAACCGTCTAATTTACCGGTTTTAATAAATATTAATTTAATCTATTATTGTAATATAAATAATATATAAAACTAACTATAATAAATTCTAAAATTATCTAAAGTCAAATAACAATTTAAATATATTAAAATTTAAGTGTAGAACTTTCTATTTATATAAATAAATAAATAAAAATATGTTATAAAAATATTTTTTTTGAAAATCCGATATGCCCGGTATTTTGGCCGGTAAAACCGGTATTTTCCGGTATGAAGCCGGTATGTACCGGTATTTTGGCCAAAACGATATTTTGGAGGTAATCATACCGATTGGACCACAGGTATCCGGTATTACCAGTAATACCGGCCGGTACATACCGGTATTTAAAACACTGGTTCCAATCATCCACGAATAATTTACGAACATAATGAAATAAATAATCGAATCGATAAATAAACCGAACTCACAAAAATCAACGAAACGATTCAACACGTACGAAAATAAACGAACGATATCGTCCTGAAGAACAATTTAACGAGAGGGTTTAGAAAAGGTTTACCCGACTTCGGGATTCGACGAGTTATCTTAAAACGGGACGGCGAACGGAAATCAAACGGGACGAACGGAACTCGGAACCCGAAAGCTCCGACGAACGGCTACTAATTACGTATGGTCTGTTGGGGTCTTTCGGACGGACTGAGGCTGCTCGAGAACTTGAATGGACGTCAGCTTCTCGAACGGCCGTCGGAGGTGAAGGTCTCGCCGGAGAAAAAAAATGGTGGCCAGAGCTTGGCTATGGTGAACAGGGAAGGTTCACGGTTGTGCAGGTCTCCTGGTGATGACCGGCGACGGTCACAGCTTCTGGGTAACCCGTAGACGGTGGACGACTGCTCGGCGATGGTGGAGGTCCACCGGAGAAGAAAGGTGCGTGCGACTGAAATTTTCTTTTTTTTTTTTTTTAAATGTAAATTATATAACACTAAATCAACCATGTACACATCGGGTAGCCAACGGACTACAAGTTCTTGGGACTACTCAACAAGAGCTCCCTACACGACCAAACAGGTCCAAAGGCAGCCAACAAACCACAAAAAATACTGACCCAGAAACAAAGACCAAAAGCAAGACAAACAAAGAACAAACAGCAAACAAGCCAAACATAACCAAAAAGAAAAACTGAGAAACTGAACAAAAAAACACAAGAGCCCAAACTAGAAGAGAGGGGGGAAGGAAACAGTCTGTAGCTCCATTGCTAATGAGTGGATGTCCATGGCCAGCATATCCAACTTCCAATGGAGAGGGGATCTGTTAGCAAGTTTTTTCCTCAAAGCCTCATCCTTGATAAAGATTTCAGCTCTGAGCCATTTCTGTTCCACCCCTTTGATGAGCCATTTTCTGATTTGTAACAAAGAGTCCTCCATTTGACAAGCTGCTTGAGGATTCCTTTTAACAAACCAGTGGACCTTGCTACTATCAGCTGCAGCAGCTATCCCCCTGATCTTCCAAGAGTTCTGACATAAGACACTAGCACTGGGATCATTTGAGTGAACCCCTACTCCCTGTTTTCTGTCAGCCATCCCACACACCATCCTAGCATCTTCAAACTCCAACCATTCCCTCTTTGCACCTTCAACCAGTATGTATTCAGAAATCCTACCTTTCTTGAATATCCAGGAGTTTCTGGTTCTCCACAACCACCAAAGAAGGTATGTGGAGAGAGAAATCCTATTCATGTTGGTACTGTTGTCCCCAAGATTGCACAAATCCTCCCACCATTCCTTGAAGCAAATGTGATCTAGTTGCAACTTATTCCAAAATATCCCTGCTAATTTCCACACTTTCTGAGCTCTGGGACAATGAAAAAACAAGTGCTCCAAATTCTCCTCCTTTTCACCACACCAACTGCATAGTACATCTATTAGCACTCTTCTTTTGCACAAATTTGTTTTAGTTCCAAGCCAGTTGTGCCAACACTTCCATATAAAATTCCTGATTTTAGGCTTCATTGGAAGATGCCAAGTTGTCTGCCAAATTTTCTTCTTGCTATTACTCCCCCCTGTACTGGATCCCACTCCTCCTGCTACTTCTAACTTTTTCTGTCTGATAGCTCTATAGGCTTCCTTGACATAGAAGAGGCCCTACTTATGAGTGTGCCATATGAGCCTATCTGGGATACCTCTTTGACTGATATGGATATTTAAAATTTGAGAGGCAACAAAAGGACTAAAAGTCTGCTGCACCAAATCAGTATCCCAGTTCAATCCATCAACATCAAAAAGATCTGAAACATTTTGGATATGCACATCATCACCTGCAAAATTACACTCTGGTATAGAGTTTGGAATGTTAGGAATCCAAGGGGTCTTCCACACATTAATAGAATTACCATTACCCACTTAGAATCTCATACCCAGTAACAAAGAAGATCTAGCCTCCAACCACCCTTTCCACATCCAAGAATCATTACACTTTTTAGCAACCTCCAAGAAATTATGCTGAAATAGATACCTACCCCTGATAACTTTACTCATGAGACAATTAGGCTTGGTAAAAATCCTCCAAATCTGCCTAAGAATAAGAGCCTCATTAAATCCCCTATGTCTCTAAAACCCAAACCCCCATTCCACCTATGCTTAGACAAACAACCCCAACTAGCCCAATGAATTTTCCTATCTCCCTCCTCTCTATCACCACACCAAAAATCTGCTAGCTCTCTCCCAATATCCTGACAAACCCCAGCAGGTAATCTAAAAACTGACATCACATAAACTGGGAGAGCACTGAGGGTGTTTTTAAGCAAAATTTCCCTCCCAGCCTCACTAAGGAATTTGTTCTTCCAACTAAAAATACGAGACTTCACACACTCCTTCACAAAATCAAAAGTCTGTTTTTTGTTTCTGCCTATGCCAAGGGGGAGCCCCAAATATCTAGAGCTTCTAGCCAGCACAATGCCTGGGAAAATCTGACAGATGCCTTCTTTCAAAGACTCAGAGATATTAGCTGAAAAGAAAATATTGGATTTGAGAAGATTGATAGCTTGACCTGACACAGAACAATATTTATCCAAAATATTAGAGAGATTAGTAGCATGAAGCAAGTCAGCCGGACAGAAAATAAGAGCATCATCAGCAAAAAATAGATGGGAAATGCTAGGAGCATGCCTACCAATCTTTAACCCATGAAAATTAGAAGCAATGCAGGCCTGGTTAATAAGATTGGAAAGAGCCTCAGAGAGAATAATAAATAGGTAAGGAGACAAGGGATATCCCTGCCTAATGCCCCTAGTAGGGATAACATTACCAAGAGGCTGACCATCAACATTAAAAGAGAAAGAAGAGGAGCTCAAACAAACCCAGATCCACCTAAGGAAAGTATTATCAAAACCCATCTTCCTACAAACCTGCAGAAGAAAAGACTATTCAACCCTATCAAAGGCTTTGGCCATATCAATCTTAAGAGCCATAAACCCAGTTCTACCCCTTCTTTTACTATTCAAAAAGTGAAGACACTCATTAGCTATGATCACATTATCTAGAATTTGTCTATCAGGAACAAAGGCAGCCTGAAAATGAGAGATACAAACACTCAAAACACCTTTAAGCCTAGTGGAAAGGATTTTGGAAATAATCCTATAGGTGACAGTACAAAGGCTGATTGGCCTAAAATCAGAAACTCTTTGAGGATTTTTAACTTTAGGAATAAGAGTGATAACTGTATGGTTTGTAGCTTTTGGGATGACAGCAGCAGAAAAGAAATTAGTGACAGCATTGCAGAGATTATCTTTAATCAAGTTCCAAGAGGTTTGAAAGAAAGCAGGGGAAAAGCCATCTATACCTGGTGCCTTGGTAGATTCCATGTCCCATAGAGCAGCTTTGATCTCCTGTTCATCCACAGCCCTAGTGAGTTTGAGATTCATATCTGGAGTTATTGATTCATGAATACCCTGAAGCACATCTTCATCAAAACTAGGATTCTCTGATTGAAATAACTGCTGGAAATAGTCAGTTATAACATCTACAATCTCCTCCTTATTCTTGCATCTGTTTCCATTACTTCTTAGTAGGTTACCCAGAGAATTACAGCTTCTTCTTTGCTTGACACAGGCCTGAAAAAATTTTGTATTTCTATCCCCTTCCTTGAGCCACCTTTGTCTAGATTTAGATTTCCAGTAGCTTTCCTCCTCTAGATAAGCTTGCTGAACCATTTGCTTACACTGCCTCCATTCTTCCCAATTTCTGTTCCCCCCCCTGCTGCCCCAAGAGCACAAGCTTTGCATTGCAACTATGAATAATTTTTGATGAATTGGTGTGCTGCTTGGCTAGCCACCCCAAAAGACCCATTTTGACTTGTTTAAGTTTCTGCTGAAAATTATATAAACCTCTCCCATTTACTGTCTGACCCCATGCATTTGCCACACACTCTTCATAACCTTCCACTTTGGCCCATCTGCTATCAAAACAGAATCTCTTCCTACCTCCCTTCACCATTTGCTCTGTCTCCAATAACAACAAGCTGTGATCTGATAATATCATAGGAACATGGAGAACTGAGGAATTTGGGAATGTAAGAAGCCAGTCAGGAGAGAACATGAACCTATCAAGCTTCTCCTCTACAAAATCTAGCCCTTGCCTACCATTAGACCAGGTATAGGGATGACCCACCACAGGGCACTCAGACACACCAAGCCTATGGACCAGGCTTCTAAAACTAGAAAACCTACCCTCACTTAAGGGTGTGCAAAGTTTGACTGAAATCGACCGAACCGACCGAAACCGACCGAACCGACCAATTCGGTTCGGTTTTTGTTCGACTCGGTCGGTCGTCGGTTTTCGTTTTGTAAATTTTCGGTTTGTTCGGTCGGTTTCGGTTTTGGACATAAAATATCCGAAAAAACCGAACCGACCGAATATAATAACTTAATACAAATGAATAACCCTAAATACACCTCATTTCAGAAAAACGCCGCTCCCTGTATCTAAATCTGTCGTCCTCCCCGCACCTTCCCTCAAATCCTCCCAGCTCACTGTATCTATACTCTGTCATCCTCAAATCCTCCCCTCAAATCCTCCTAATTTCAGAAACGCGCCGCACCTTCCCCAATCTCTCCCTGTCGTCCTCAAATCCTCCCCGCCGTCGCTCACTGCTCTTCCGTCCTCGCTGCACCTCCGTCGTCGCTGCTCCTCCGTCCTCGTTGATCCTCCATCGTCGTTGCTTCTCCGTCCGGTCAAGGAGCTCGTGGTCACCGACTCACCGGTCGTCCAAGGACGGCTGTAACTGTAAGTATTTTTTTTTGTTTTATTTTCTAAAGTCACAAATTTCAAATTAACAAATTGTAATAAGAAAATACTAGAGATTTGTTTTTGGGAGAGTGCACGGCTGTACCTGTAACTGTACAGTGTAATGAATTGTTGTTTTTGGGAGAGTGCACGGCTGTACGGTTAAATTTAACCTTCATTCATTCATTTGGGCAGCAGCCTGTACCTGTAAGGCTGTAACTGTACATTGTAATGAATTGATAACAGATATGAAGATGAAAATGAACTAGATGAAGATGATAAGAAAATTCAGTGTACAGTCTAATGAATTAGAAAGAAAGAATGTTAGTGAATCAGATGTTGACCAACTTGTGAAAAAATTCTGAATGTCTGATGAGTGTCATATGATAATTGATAACAGTCTGAAATAATATCCAAAAATTATGTGAAAAATTGTAACAGTTTACCTTTTTACATCAAGCCATGTTTTATGATGAATTGATTTTTGCTTCATATACATTGTGCATTTGTGCTGACTGTATTTTACCTTTCTCTGAAATTCATAATACTTGGACTGTAGATGTCAAGTCAAGAAGAAATGGACGGAAGCACGGGACCTGTGGATAAGGCCTCAAAGGAGACACCGACTATACCTTCAACAGGAGATTCATTAGAAGTTAAAAGAGGCGCCGCACGTCGTAATGTACGGCCAAGATCTAGGGCATGGACTCATTTTGACCAGATTTTTGACGCAAAGAAAGTTGTGGTAGGTGCTCAGTGCAAGCATTGCAAAAAGCAATATGCTTGCCATACAAAACGAAACGGTACCTCATCACTTCTTGCTCATATGAGTAGTTGCATGAAAAACTCTGAAAATGTGGATGCGAATCAGTCTTTAATAAACGTGCAACCAGAAAAAGAGGGTGTTGTTGGGTCAGGTTCGATATCTAATTGAAAATATGATTATGGTGAGATTCGAGAATCTATTGCATATATGATATGTTCTGATGAGTTGCCCTTTAAATTTGTGGAAAGTCGAGGATTTAAATTGCTTATGAGCAGAGCATGTCCTAGGTTTAAAATTCCTTCTAGGACCACTGTTACAAGAGATTGCTTTGATATGTTTGTTAATGAGAGGTCAAAGTTGAAGTCTTTCTTGAAAAGTAACTGCCAAAGGGTCTGTCTTACTACTGATACTTGGACGTCTCTGCAAAAAATTAATTATATGTGCATTACCGGCCACTTCATCGATAATGATTGTAATTTGCACAAAAAAATTTTGAATTTTGTTCCCGTTACGAGCCACAAAGGTGATTACATTGCCAAGTCACTTGAAACTTGTATTCTTGATTGGGGGCTAAAAAATGTATTTACGATAACGATGGATAATGCAAGCTCAAATGATACGGCATTGGAATTTTTGAAAAATAGAATGATGGATTGGGGGGGTACCATTGCAGATTGTAAATACATTCACATGAGGTGCATTGCCCATATTATTAATTTGATTGTTAGCGAGGGTCTTAAAGATGTAAAACCATCAGTGAAACGGGTGAGGGCGGCTATTAGATACATAAAAAATTCTCCTGCTAGACTTCGAAAATTTAAAGAGTGCGTGGAATGGGAGGGTATAAAGTCCAAAAAGTCATTATGTCTTGATGTCAAAACGAGGTGGAATTCGACTTATGTGATGCTAAGCACGGCGGAAAAATTTGAGAAAGCATTTGCTAAGTATGCAAGAGACGAAACTTCTTTTGTAAAGGATCTGGGAGATGATTTAGTTCCTAGTTCTTATGATTGGTCTTGTGCTCGCAAAATTTCTGAATTGTTGAAGTACTTTTATGATGCTACCTTATGGATTTCGGGCTCTTTGTATGTCACTTCGAATACTTTTTTTGGTGAGATTAGCGATTTGTGTTGCACTTTGGATGATTGGAGAAAGAGTGATGACCTTTTGAAAAAGGACTTGGGTGACTTAATGAAAATAAAATTTCTTAAATATTGGGGAGAGCCGGGATGCATGAATAAAATTATCTTTTGGGCAAATATTTTTGATCCGAGAGAAAAACTTGAGTACATGGCTTACACTTTGAATGAGATGTATGGGGTTGAAAAGGGGGAGAAAATTCTTGAAGAAGTGAAGCATGATCTCTTTGAATTATTCAAAGAGTATAAGAAGAAGTATGATCCGGAAAATGATGCAAGTGCTAGCGTTGGAGTTCAAACAACTTCAAGTTCCGAACATGAAAGTATTAGTACCAAGCCCCAATCAAATTTAAAAGCTAAGTTCAAGAAGCAAAAGTTAGCGGCCGGGGGTTATGCAAACAAAAAATCCGAATTTGAAAGTTACTTGATTGAGGATGTGTTAGAGGACGAAGAAGATCTTGATGTTCTAAAGTGGTGGAGATCAAATTCCGACCGTTTTCGGGTTCTTTCAAGAATGGTTTGGGATATGTTGGGTGTTCCAATATCAACCGTTGCATCGGAGTCGGCTTTTAGCACCGGTGGGCGGGTGCTCGACAAATTTAGGAGTTCTTTAACTCCTAAAATTGTTGAAGCATTGATATGTACACAAGATTGGCTCCGAAATGAATGCGTCCCTTTATGTGTTGAAGAGTCACTAGATGAGCTAGAAATGCTTGAAAAAGGTATTGTTGATGTGCAAAAACTTTGTATTTTTTTAATAGCAATCTTATTTTTAATTTGTTTAATTTTCAGATTTGCCGCAAGTGGGGATTGGACAAACATTGTGAAGTACGACTTATGAATGTGAGGTAACAACTATTAAATTTCATTCTTTTCAATTGTTCTAAAATTGGTTTGTATAAGATGTTTTCACTTGTTGTTTTTGGTGATTTTTTTTGGATATTTTTTGCTGTTTTTAGGTTAATTCCAGGGCTGCTTTGAAGGTCTATAGCTGTTATTTTTGGGACAAAAATTCGGGGCTGTTCGGGGGCATTTCTGGGCTGTTCTGAAGGCCTTTTCAAGGCTGTTTGTGGGGACTTTTTTTGCTGTTTTGTGGACTTTATTTGTGTTTTATTGATGCTGTTTTTGCTGTCTTTTATGGGTGCTTTTGTTTTATTTTTTGGACTTGTTTTGGAGACTTGGGTTGTTGTTTTTATTATTTTTTTGGACTTTTATGGGTGCTTTTGTTTTTGATGTGGTTTGGGACTTGGATTTGTTGGATTTGGAATTGCAAAGTTTAATTTGGATGTGTTTTTAGGTTGTATGTTAATGAAAAGGCCCATATGTTTGGGCCTAGTAAACAATCCACAATTTTTTTTTGTAAAAAATTCGGTTAACCGACCGAACCGACCGACTAATTCGGTTCGGTTGTGTTTCGGTTTTATGAAATATTTCGGTCGGTTCGGTTTTTGTTATATTGTTGTTCGGTTAATTCGGTTTTTGTATTTTCGGTCGGTCGGTCGACCGAACCGACCGATGAACACCCCTACCCTCACTCCTAACAATGCCCCCCTGCTTCTCCCTATTGCACAAAACATCATTGAAATCCCCCCCCAGAAACCAAGTATCTCCCCACTCTAAATGAATTGATCAAAAAATCCCATTGGGACTGCCTTTCAACAGGAGAAACACTAGCATAAATGAAGACAGCCCACAATTTATCAACTCCACCCCCCAGTTAAAACAAACCTGAAAGCAAAACTCATTAATACTAAAATTCAATACATTAACATTTTAGGCCCATCCCAACAGAAGACCACCTTTCCTACCCTGAGAGGGCACATACTCCCAATTATTAATAACAGGTAAATTTTTGCAAACTGTATCAACATAGGATTTTTTCTTTTTAATTTCTGAAATAAAAACAAAATCTGGAAGGTAGGATTTTAATTTATCCTTCAGCTGGGGAATTGTAGAGGGTCCTCCCAGACCTCTACAATTCCACACCATAACTCTCATTTATCACTTTGGGACCAGTTATGGCTGGTTTCCTCCACCATTTTCTCAGAGATATTGTTGTAATAATTTTCCGGAGTAGAATCGAAAGACTCGAACACCGGGTCGTGTCTCACGAGGAAGGTCAGCCGGAATATTCTGTACGTTTATTCAAGCACTAATAAAAGAAATAAATTTCCTAAACATTCTAATTCAAATGATTTGGTTTGATTATCAACTACGAAAAACTTCAATTAAAGCAAATATAAATAGCAAGCAATCAACGAAGAACAAATAGGATTTAAGGAGCTAGGGAGTCGGGGATATCCGTTTTGGTTCGAAAATGTAATTGTCAAGCAAGAGATTGTTCAGTTAAGTGATTTGACTAATCGACACGTTCAAGCACTCATTCTCAATAACTTTTCGTAACAAGAGAACAAACTATAACGGCAAATTAACAATTCATTTAACTTCTAGGCAATACAGTTACGAACAAGCCTAGTTCATACGAGCCTATTTCGACCGACTCCTCCCCTTTCGGTTCTAAGAGTCGATTAAAGTAGACTAGAAAGTGTTTAATCAACTAGTCCGTATAGAATAACCAACATCAAGCAAGAGTAAATCGAACTCAATTGCAAGCAATTGGTGATTGAAGTGTCACCCTTCAACAATTCTAATTACTCGAGCCTGACAATTGAAAAACCCTAGAAAAAGATCAACTCGTATGAAATTGAACAATCTTGAGCCCGACAATCACAAATGATAACAAAACATCAATCCCCTATCCCTAGCATATGAATTTAGCTACTCATCATCAATTCCACATCAACATCAATATCAATCAAAGCCATCATCATCACAGATAAAATGAAATAGAAAGCTTACGATTAAATATGAATCCAATGTCGAAAAAAAAACGAACAATCCAAATCCACAAGTCGAATCTTGGTGTTTTCACAATCCAAGATCGAATCCCGATCAAAACTAAGAGAAAAAGGAGTTCTGGAGTGAAAAGGGACGAGAGAATATCAAAACCTAGGTGGAAGATGATGAAAATCTGATCCAAAAATCAAATATAAATTTCTGCACGTCGCGATCTCCGAGGCCGTGACCAATCCTCCGCGGCCGCGGTGAAGGAAGGTTCGCGGCCGCGACCGTCTCCGAGGCCGCGAGCTCGACTGGCCAGAAATGGGCGTTCTGGGACTCTCGCGGCCGCAACTACCTCCTCCGCGGCCGCAGTGAAGAAATCTGGGCAGCTGCGTGCTGCTTTACGTTTCGAGCTCGTTTGGGCTCGTCCGAAAACGGAATTGAGTTCCGTTTTTTGCTATGCGTCACCAACGAATCCATCTATCCAGTTATGCTCTCAAAACCAACTTTTCCTGAAGAGAAAATTCGCCCGAAGCTCCTGACCTACACACCAAAAACCACAAAACACAAAAGAGAACCGGAAAAACAAACGAAAAACATCTAAAGACTCAAGATGAAGGAAAACACATAATAAAACACGAAACGGACTAAAAACTAAAGAAACGACCTAAAATGGGGGAAAAAGGTAGATAAAATAAACATGAAAAATGCAACAAAAATGAGACAAACAGATATTAAACTCAGTTTTTTGCTTTTTCAAAACATTACATAAAGGATCAGTTTCAGAAGATGAATCACCTTTAGTTTTTCTTTTCAGTCCTTGATTAGCTGTGGCAGTAGCCTTGCTATCAACAGGAGCAGCAACATTTTTGGCTTTTCTCATTTAGCACCCTAGCAATCCTAGTAAAAGTTTTTTTAGGTTTTGCAAGAGAAGGACTAACAGAACTTTGAGCCACAGGCACATTAATCAACTCATTTAAATCTAAGCCCTGATTCCTAATAAGGTCCAAATCCATAGACTCTAAAAAGGCTTCCTTATCCTTTTGGGAATCAGTACCAGCCTTTGTGCTAACCTCAGCTCTATTTTCCCCAATGCTATCCCCCTCTAACTGACCCTCACTAGGGTTACTCTCCACTAAGTCAGTATTATCTTTATCATTCTCCACATACCCCTGAATCACTGGATCACTAGGACCCTCATCATTAACCCCCATGAGCTTATCCTTACTAGACTCAGAGTTAGGATTGACAGCAGCTTCAGTAAAGGATTTTTTATCCTTTGCAAAACCGGAGGAAAAAAAGGAAACCCTCAACCAATCCCCAAATTGACCAGTTCTCAGTTTGCTCCTCAGAATATCATCCTTTTTAAAATCACAAGCTCTATCACTATGCCCAATACGGCCACAATAAAAGCAGAAGGTCATCAGATTCTCATACCTGAAATCAACCCATTGCTCATTCTCTCCCAACTTGATGAAAGTTCCTCTGGGAATAGGTTCAAGCATATTGACTTGCACCAGTATTCGAACTACTCTCCCATTCATAAGGCTGTTGCCAGGGCTTGGGATCACCACATCTTTAACAGATTCAAATACTTGTCCCACTTTAAGTCCTGTTTCTGCAGAAATCCAGTGTAGAGGCAATTTGTGAATTTGAACCCATAGATCCACTAACAATTCTTCATTCTTGAACACGGTTTCTCCTTTCTTCCACTCTTTGAGCAAGAGATACTGCCCATCATAGGACCATACTCTGCCTTTCAGAATTCTGTACTTGTCTTCCTCCGCTTGAAAAAGAAATTGATAGTGATTTTCCCCCAGCATCCTCACTGAGAAAGGCATACTGGTTCTCCAGACAATACTCATAGTAGATTTCAGCCCACTTAGATTAACTTTTTTAACCCCTACAATCTTCCCTATCAGACTGAGAGAACATTCATGCAGCCCCGGTTCTATATCCAGATCCGACAAGACAACACGGTTCTTTTCCTTATCAGAGAGCTCAAACTTGCCAAGCTTATCAGTGATATCCTGCGCCATGTAATATTTCAGATCTCAAACTCACTAGCACCGTCGAATCAAGAGGGATCAACATGCACCAGAGACACGGAGAAAGAAACACACCAATGGTTAGGGCTAGATTGAAAAGACTAAGCACGAAACAAACAGAAAACGAGAAAACCCTAGAAACCCCGCCCAAAGGGCGAAAAGGAAAGAACCCTAAGAGACAAAGCAAAGAAAAGAAAAGAATACTGGATCAAAGGCGAAGATCAAACGGGAAAATCAGAAGAAAACGACCACAAAATCCACAACTATGGAACTGGAAAGCTCTAGAAAGAGAAAAACATCCCCACAAAGAGAGAACTCCCAAATGGACCAAGAATTAAAAAAAGAATTTTGGGCCCAAATATAATAACTCAATTTGGGCCATGGGATTTGATGGAAAAATTGGGTCTAAAGCTAATGAACCAATTGGGCTGACATTAATTTAACATAGACTGATTTACAGCTAGAACAGGGCCGAAATTACATAATAAGGATCGAAAATACTCCCAATAAATTGGGTTGATATTAAACTTCCAAATGAATTGGGCCCGAAGAATTACAACGCAATAACAAGAATTTCCGATCGATCCGATTGACGATAAATAATAAATAAAATTACACGACTTATTATATTAATTAAATCACATTTAATTAAATAATAATAAGTCTGAACGGAAAAATGTCGAGCCATAATACAATATAGACAATTAATTCCAATTAATTCAAATAATGCCAATAAATAATATTCGAAAAATCTAATAATCGAACGGGACATTATATTATCTTTAAGACAATATAATGTGATGACTTTAACCGAGAAATATTCATAAATAACCGAAATAAAATAATACCATGAAATTTCATAAAATCCAAATAGTCACATAAATTCTATTATTCTAACGGGACGCTACACGGCAGATCATATGTTCAAAATAGTCGACTCTGATCTAGCCCAAACCCGTTGACCATGGGCTTGATCGGGCCGAGTCGGTAGGCCGAGTGGCCCGTGGATATCTCTACTTGTGGCTTACAACTTACAAGTTACAAGTTTCTTAAATTGTATTTGACCGCGTATACTACAAAATACAAACAAAATTTCTCATACGTGGATTTAAATAAATTTAGTGGGGTTATCAAAATGTTAACAATACTAATGTTTGAATCGAACCAACAATAAAACTATGAATAGAAATTATTATAAACTACAGAAATTTCCAAATCAGACATTACACTTATAAACAAGAACCTGATCTTATATAATTATGAAAATGAAAAAAAAAAAAAAAAAATTCTATCATGCATTTCCCCCCATCAGCATCTGCTGATGCCTCTTGAAGGAAAGAAGCTTCTGCAGCCGCATCCGCCTGTGAAATTTAGTTATGAACAAATCTGCCACCTCATCAATCTCATCTTCAAGATTGAAATTCTGTTTGGTATTCTTGACAATATCTATGGCTGATGATGCAGATTCATCTAACAGATCAGCAATCTCCTCATCAAACAGTGTATGCCTCAGGTCGGGATACTTATCATCATCATCGCCATCATCATTAGCAGCAGCATTAATCTCATCATTATCATGATCAGGATGCTTATGATGATCATTATCATTAATAATCACTTGCTCGTCTTTCGCCGGATATAGCACAGACTGCACAGTCAAGACAGTCACCATCATCTTGGCTTTCATTGCCCTGCATTTTGCTATTATGTGCTGTACAACTCTTGAACCTTTTCCCTTCATTCTCTCTCAATTCTTATTGATATATACTAATCCTAACCAAAATCTAGCTTTGAACAAAATAGTACACTACTCTATAAACTTTCAATCAGATAGAAAGAAAATAAAAGCACAAACAGATGATCATGTAAAGAGGTATACCAAAATGCAAATGAAGAAAACATGTATATACCCTCTTTATATAGAGTAATGTACCTTTCCTAGCTACTTCTTGTGAGGCACAAACAAATTAATTTTGCTTTATGTACAATTACTATATAAATAAAGTGATGATAGTATGATTGATAAAGTACTATTCATGATATGATGCAATCTCAGCATGATAAAGACTATTTCATCTTACTTTATTAAAAGCGAAAAGCTTTTTGTGTGTCTGTGATATAAGCCTTTTGTCTTTTTTCTCCCTTTCAGATCATCGCTCAAGGTTTAAATATAAAACGACGCTTCATGAATAAGGAAACCGATTCCACAAAATATACTAACTTGAAAAATACTTTATGAATTTATTTAAAAACAAAACTCGTGTTTGCAAAGGAGCAACAATTGTATGTAAATGAAAGACGTATAAAGTTTCATTTGATAACAAAACCACGAAATGATTAGTTGGGTTATGAGGAAATCAAACACGGGGTATAGAGTACAATATTGTGAGGCTTGTTTGCTCATCTCTAAACCAAGCATAAGTCAGCTTTTGTGCACTCACCTTCAGATTTATTGACCTGATCCTTTAAGGAATTCAAAAAGGGTAGTGTTTAAATTGAACTCTTGTGAGGTTCACTCAGGCCAGTTGCCATGCAATAAGAGAAGCATAAATGAAATGACTAACGTTTTAACCTGTGTTGTTTGTTTGCCACGAAACTCTACATATCAACATTTTTGACAATGTAGTCTATACAACGCTCAGCTTCCACACGACTAAATCCAACATACCATAAGACAAAACAAAACAAAACAGCAAAAAAAACCCTAGTAAAATGATCGGCGACAACAGTAGTGATAGTGATAATGCAGCTCCTGAACATGATTTAGGCCAGCACCGAACAACTCATGTAGCAAATGCATTCACCTGCCAAAATCCAATTTTGAGAAAGAAAAAAAAAAAAATCAAATTGCCTCAACCTAATTAAAAAGAATAAAAAAATCTGAAGATCTCCTCACCTGCTCCAGCTTTCCAATGAAAAGGAGCTCAACTTCTCTACGAAGAATTTCCAAATCCAGTGCATAATCTTTAAATGTATCACCACGAATCAATACCTCCAACTGTTCCCTTAACCTCCCCAGTGCTGCATCCATCTATGTTTCACCTATAGCTAGCAGGGCATAGATGTGTTCTTATGCTCGGTCTCATCCACTACGGTAATAAAAACTAGGAAACAAACAGGAAATTAGACAAGCAAAGACCTTTTCCTGGAGATCAAGGTCTTGTGATGCCAGAAGATCAACCACAGATTTTAACAAGGAATGATTGCTGAAGAAAGGCAGTTCCGTGTTACTCCCACTGTCCAATTGACACTCAACCAGATCAGCCAAGAGAAAAACAGATTTCCGGCGTAGTCTGATATCGATGCTTGAGTTACTTAGAATGTTCTGCAAGACAGCTCACAGTAAGAAAAGCAGCTTTTAGACTTGCAACTCAGTGCACCATGGATCAGAATTGCTTTATTCAGTATTCATCAAATTACCTGAAGCATCATGTCTCCAGCTTCCAAATACAATAACTTTTGCCCTTCCATATTATTTCTGATCAATGCTGAAACAGCATATAATGCTTTTGTGGCTTCCTCAATGGAATCAGAGTGCACCATCTCTATTAACTTTGCCAGTGTTCCAAGCGTCAAAATCTGTAATTCTCAAATGTTAAATGCTGACTATACAGGTCATGTGATACTCTTCAGAGAGAAAACACGGGATGAGTTACTTCAGGAAAATAGAGGGTGTGACTGGATATATTTTCATCTTAAGTGAAATTTTTAGAAAGAAAGTGGAAGATATAATTATTTTTCTAATGTAAATTAATGTGTAATAAGAGTAATAACTAGGGATGGTATCGGTTCGGTTAGTATACCGATACCGAACCGATGATGCCGGTAACCTCAAAATCCAAAACCGATACCGAACCAATTAAAGTCGGTTACCGAAGAAAAGTCGGTTCGGTTTCAGTTTTATACCGAAAAAACCGAACCGGTTTTGAACACACACACACAAAAAAAACTGCTAGTGTTTACTTTTCTCGTCATTTTGGTAATTTTCTCACTTCTTAGCAATTAAATATACACAAAAGACTCACAAATTCATTGAAGGATTAAAGAGTTAAATTTAATATATAGAAGTTAGTTTAAATATAGTTAGATTCTGGTTTTTGTGTTAAATGCAACTAATAAAATAATCTATTGTTGAACATCCAAAAAATAAAATTTGTGATACAACTTCAACTAACTTATCTACTAACTTATCTAGTAACAATGGTACGAGAATAAACTACAGTTACATTACCATCTTCCATAGAAGGAGTGAGACTGGTAAACCGACACTTGTTCTAGTGAGAAGGTGAATGAGGAGATGGGTAGTGGTATTTTTCTAGTCAGTTTGGGGTGTAGGTAGGGTTGAGTCTATATTTTAATTTTTAAACACTAAACAATTAATCCTTGTTTTAATATTTACCAAAAAAATCCTTGTTCTAATTTTTTTTTACCCTTATCGGTTCGGTATCGGTTTTACCGAAGCCATGTGATTCGGTAATCGATAATCGGTTACCGTTACAAGCGGTTCGGTACGGTTCGGTTTTTTTCAGTTCGGTTCGGTTTTCGGTTAAAAAATGTCAGCCCTAGTAATAACTAATTGTGATGTGATCAGAAAAGAGTAAAATAATGAGTAGTAGTTATAAATATATGTGTGGATGAATAGTAAAATTTATAAAGAAAGGTGTGGCAATGGTTTGATTTTTAATTTAAAATATTGTGTTGAGAATATTGAAGAGAGAAAAGTGAGATGGATGAATAATGCATTTGTTATTGGTGGATGAATAAATGTGTTTGAATATGTACCCAATTGCACCCAAAGTCCAAAACACGTTTTTGAAAGGAAAAGCTAATAACCTACCTGGTTCTGAACAAGAGGATTGTTTTGGCTGGCTTTGCCAAGGATCCAAGCAGAAATAGTTCTTATTTCTGGGTTTGCATTGTTAAGTTCCCTTATGACCGCAGTGAGTCCCCCGAGTTTGTGAAGATCTGTAAATAAAACAGTACCATGCATGCCACGTTTGAGAGCTGAAAAGACATCATAACAGAACAAGCAGACCAGTGATGCCACAAATTTTGTCCCCACGAGAATTTTGCTTTTGCTTTCCCTTTTAACGCTGAAGAGCGAACAAAAGATACCATGTACTCAGTTCATCCCAATTATACTCCAATATGGGCATACGTAAGATTATACTTCTTACAACAACAACAACATACCCAGTATATTCCCAACAGGTTGGGGAGATTATACTTCTTAAGATAGAAATTTTTGTTTGAGAGAAAAACACTTGCAAATTTCAGAAAACAATGTAACTGCAAGTAGCCCGAATAAACTAAGATAGAACTATATAATATTGACAAATTGGACAACTTAATTTTTCCAAAATGGGTAAGACTGAAGATTGCAATCTACACACACCATTTGCATTATCGATAGGCTCAACAAGTACTAGAAGCTCCTGAAGTGCACGGTGCCGATCCTCAAAAGGTATGGACGAGTTATTCAAATCATCTATTGCAATTTTCATCAATTGTGCATCTGATGGCGTCCTTAATTTCTCCATCAATTCCTGCGCCGGCATACAAAATAGGACAATATCAGATCTCCGAAAAGCAAAATAGAGCTACAGCCAGATTTTACCAGTTACCACTGAAGAATTTTATATAAAGTCCCGGCATGACAGAAGCAACAGTGTGTTAATGATCATAAGAAATATTATGTACCCTCAGTCATGGCTGACGAGTAGTGCCGCAAACGAACTGAACAGTCGCGAACGAAAGCTCGTCCGAGCTCGTTTGTGTTCATTTAGGGCTCGTTCGTTTAATAATCGAGCCGAGCTCGAACATGTAATTCAGCTTGTTTATTATACGAACTATTCGAACGAAGAACAACATGATTTTTTTTAATAATAATAATTATAATAAAGTAAATAAGCATTTCTTATTTGATAATCGAACTATTCAAACAATCGAGCTAATCGAACGCTCGAAAAGTTCAAATAATTTAGATTAGCTAAACGAGCCTAACACGAACCAAAACGAACATAAATTTAGGCTCGACTAATAAACGAACGAACTCGAACAAGCTCGAATATTAGTCGAACTCGAGCTCGAACAGCCCAAGCTCGGTTTGGTTTGGTTCGTTTACAGCACTACTGACGAGGGCAATCAAATGCTGATTGGACAGGTCAGAAACCTTATTAGACCACTACAGTTACACAGAATAGAGAACAAATATAAATAAGGCAAAGAAATTACATCTGCAATAAACACGATCAAATGATAATGTAACAGCCTAGATTTTAGAGAAAGTGCACGATTTGGAGAGGAAAAGGTTCTGGCATAAGCAACAGCAGGATCTTAAAAAGGAAACGTTAATGGATGGAGATACAAATTGCAAGATGCAACCAGAACAGAGTTTCTCCTTTCATCCATAAGAAAGAAGCACTAGAATATTCATTTTACAAGTATACTTTCACACCCTTGCAAAAACGAGCAATCAGCCAAAACAGTTGATGTACAATTTTTATATATGGCGGTGCTAAAGAAGATTACTGCAATGGTATAATTAGATTCACAGGGACCAAGATAAAGTACATCAGGACAAACTGTAGACCACACCTTTATTTCCACCTGACGTTGCATCAGCTCTTCAGGGGACAGGTTTTGGATACCTAGTGCAGCTTCCTCTAACTTTGCTGGATCTGAATGACCTATTTCAATTGAGAAAAACAGACGAACATAAATATCAAGGCATAATGGTGCAAACTACATATCTCATTCAACCAAGAGGATAACTAGAACAGCAATTCATTCCATATCTCCAAATATACTTCATCGTGTGTACTAATACTAGAATGTAGCTGAAAGCTCTTTGTCTATTTGGCAGTAGGCTATATCGTGTACCTAACTGAAACCTCCAAAATTATCTAATCAGGACTTAGTTGACTACAATGCATTCCAAATCATGACCGATCTTGGAATCAGCTATCCAAAGATGACCCAACAAATCCAAGTACGTTCGAATGAAACTCTGGAATGAAGAACTAGACTTCCTAAGCTTTTTACCCAGTTAAACAAACTATAAAGTACCTCAAATCACCTCTGGTAGGGCATCAGGCATTTCAGGCAGCGGAAACTAGTATTTTCAACTTTCGTTTGAACAAATTATTTCTTAAATAACAAAGTCGACAGAAAATTGAAACGAAACACAGATTACAGAAAGTGAGAAATCAGGAAAGTTACCAATAGCCCACTGTAACATCCCGTCCAGGGAAGAGAACCCGCCGTCCAAATGCGAATGGCGTTCCTCGGCGTTCCTCATATCATCATCGGATTCGGAAGCTTTCAATCCCAATAGATCCCCTTCCTCCTTTCCGATGGACCAAATAGACGCCGACTTATTGACGCGTTCTGCACGGACAGCAGCTCCCAAAATCAGTGCAAAAAACACCAACAGTCTCACCTTCCCTGAGATTGACGAGGATCGCCGCTCCATCTCCACCGGCACAACTTTTTCTTCGGTGAAACAACAATCAATCACGGTGTATAATGTACGACGAACTCCCCTTTCTAATTGTTCAGGAATTATAGGTAGCAGTCCCCCAGTGCTACTACCGTGTGCCCTACCACACCTAGCAAGGTGTGTCACGGCAATTTAAAATGAACATATTATGTTACAAAATGAATATATGCAAACATGATTTATACATGTTCATTTTGTAACATAACATATTTATTTGTGGCACACCTTGCTAGGTGTGTCAGGGCACACCTAAGAGCATCTCCAATGCTATAAGTGTGAAAGACCATTATTTTTTTAACACATGTCAATTAGTGATTGTAATATTAATCCATATTGGAATAATGTTAAATGACTAAAAATTCCAATGAAACTAGTATCTCCAATGCATCACTTTGATAAGAAGTTATTTGTATAGGTGGACCAATTAAATAATTCATTGATATAAAAAAATAAAAAATTAAAACAAATATAAAGTAAATTGATGAGTCATCATGTTTAACATGGTGTTAGATATTAGAAAGTGTGCTTAACATTGTCAACATTAAATGACATCCACCTCATCATGAAAGAGTTCATGACAAGATGCATTGAAGAAAAAAATGGAGACACACTTTCAAAAGTTGATAATATAGATGACTTTTTATAATGTCAAAAGTTGCATTGGAGATGCTCTAAGTATTTGCGACAGTCCCTTGTGCCTGGTCGATATTTTACAAGGTTCTGGACAATTTATTACTACAAATATTTTTACATTTATACGTTTTTTTTTTTTTTTAACGAAACGATAGAAGATGTATAACTCAAAACCAAATACACAATGTCATAATACAACCAAGGCCAAAGCCGAGAGAAATAGAAAATGAGAGGTCACGCCAAAGGCGGCCTAGAACCGAGAGCAAACAAATCTCAAACACTAATCTCCACTGCCATAAGGCCTAGAGAATACAACCCAAACAAAACAAACTAGAAGAAAGAAAACTAAGCAGCAACTCCTAACAAACTAGAACACAACCAAACAAAAGAGAGCTGAGAGAAAGCTGAAGGTTAGCAGGAGTCACAGCAGGCAGAACTCGAGCCATTCCTTATGAGCAATTTGGACTAACTTGTGAGCTGGGATTGTCATTTTCTGAAATATCCAAAGGTTGCGACATTTCCATAGCCACCAAAGTAAATAGGTAGTGAGTTGAATGCGGGCTTTGTCATTTTCAGAAGAGCCAATGGAGCAGATATGATCCCACCAATATTTAAAGGGGCCATTGGAAGAGGTGTCTGTCCAAGTGACTGGGGAGATGTCCCATACCATCTTAGCTTTGGGGCAGTGGAGAAGGATGTGTTCTACAGTTTCAGGGCAAACTCCACAACTTTGGCAATATGGCTCAATATCCACTCCTCTTCTCACCAAGTTAGATGCAACAGGAAGGGTACCATTGACACATTTCCAAAGGAACTGTTGAAGTTTACCTGGGAGCTTAATTTTCCAGAATCTGAAGGTGGTTGCTTTGCTATTTGAGTAGCTGCAGCAGGGTATGTCAAGTTGAAGGAGCTTTTGATGAGCCAAAAAGGAGTATGTGCTTGCAACAGAAAATACTCCCTTGATGTGGAATTTCCAGTATCTTCTGTCAGAACAGTTAGGCTTGAGAGTAGTTATGTTGAGGATAGCCTTGCTCTCAGGTTCATTGAAGAGTTGTTTCACCAGCCATTCTGTCCAAGCAGTTCCAGTAGTGTTTATGAGGTCTTTCACCCATATGATGTGGTCTTTGGCAATCTCCAGGATAGAAGGCTTCAGGTGTGGGATAGAAGGGATCCAATTGACTTCATCAATTCTAGTGGTTTCACCATTCCTGATTTCTACTGCATAACCTTTAGCAAAAGTGGGCAGAACCTCTAACCAATTAGACCAGAGCCATGAGCAGTTCTGAGTTTTAATAGCTGAGAAAATGGAGCAATCTGGAAAGTATCTATCCTTCAGAATTTTGCTGACCAAGAGTTGAGGTTGAGTGGATATCCTCCAGAGCTGCTTACATATCAGAGCAGTATTGAAGTGTTTGAGGTCGATGAAACCCAGACCTCCTTCAGATTTGGCTAATGTGAGAGAATCCCAAGCCTTCCAATGGATGCCTCTGCTGTGATCTTCACCTTTACTCCACCAGAAATGGGAGCAGAGTTTGATTATCTCATGACACAGGGAAGCTGGGAGTCTGAAACAGGACATTGAGTATATAGGCAGTGATTGGATGACAGCTTTAATGAGAACCTCCTTGCCTGCTTGGGATAGAAGTTTGGACTTCCAACTGAGTAATTTTGACTTGACAGAATCAAGGACAAATTGAAAAGCCTGCAGTTTTGACTTCCCAATCCCGAGTGGTAATCCAAGATATTTGGTAGATTTGTGAACAGCAATCCCTTGAAGAGTGTCACATATTTTGTTTTGCAAGAATTGTGGAGTATTTCTGCTAAAAAATATTGCTGATTTCTGGAGGTTAACCCTTTGGCCTGTGAATAACCGGTATCTTTCCAAAATATTGAGGATATGGATAGCTTGATCATCTCCAGCTTTACAGAAGAAAAGTGAGTCGTCTGCAAATAGAAGATGAGAAATGGCTGGTCCATTCCTAGATAGTTTTAAACCAGTCAAACTGCCATTGTTCACAGCATCAGTCACCAGAGCAGATAGCATTTCAGCCACAATGAGAAAAAGATAAGGAGAAAGAGGATCTCCTTGTCTTATTCCCCTGGTAGGTTTCACAAAGCCACAAACAGAACCATTCACCTTGAAAGAAAAGGAGCTAGAAGATATGCAGATCATAATCAAATTAACAAATTCGAGCTGAAATCCCATTTGAATCATGATCTTCTTTAAGCAAAGCCACTCAACTCTATCAAAGGCTTTCATTAAGTCCAATTTTAAGGCCATAAAGTGATTCCTACCAGAAGCATGTCTATTGAGAAAGTGGAAGGCTTCATGTCCAATGATGACATTATCAAATATTTGTCTGCCTTTGAGAAAAGCAGATTGAGAATGGCTAATACAAGAATCCAGACAACTTTGCAGTCTTAAAGAAATGATTTTGGAAAGAATTTTGTAGACCACTGTGCACAGGCTGATTGGTCTGTATTGGGAAAGAAAATCAGGGTTGGGACATTTGGGTATTAAGGTCAGAATGGTATGGTTCCAATACTTGAGCAAAGAGCCATTTTCAGTAAAGAAGCTGGAGATAGCTGCACATAAATCTTGTTTGATAAGATTCCAAAAGGATTGGTAAAAGAGGGCAGTCATACCATCTTCTCCTGGAGACTTTTCTGGGCTAAGGCTGAAGAGAGCCTTGTGGATTTCTTCCTCTGTGATAGGTCTGAGAAGAGATTGATTCATTTCAGCTGTGATTGTGGTTGGGATTAAGGGCAGCAGAGAGTCTCCACCCCAAGAGCCTTCTGAAGTGAATAAGTTGGAGTAAAAGTCTGAGATATGGTCTGAAATTTCCTGAGAAGTGGTGCAGCTCCTGTTCTGGGATGTGAGGAGTCTGGTGATAGCATTTTGTCTTCTTCTCTGGAGAGTGAGAGCATGAAAAAACTTGGTGTTGCGGTCTCCCTCTTTGATCCACCTGGCTTTGGCTTTTTGTTGCCAATGTAACTCTTCCATCTTGTGGATATTTTCAAGATCCCTCTTAGTGGAGTTCCATTCATCCCAGTGATCTTCTATACCACTTTCTTGAATAAGGGCCAGTTTCTTGTTGAGGTTCTCCATGGTTGATTGCTGCTGAGATCTGAAGTTAGCACTCCATAGAAGAAGAGCTTTTCTGGTTAGCTTAATTCTCTCTTTCAGTTGATAGAATGGAGTACCCCTGAGTTGAGTTGACCAAGCTTCCTTCACTACATCATGGACCCCTTCTCTGGATAGCCACCTTTTATCAAAGTGAAATCGGGCAACTATTCTTTCTTTCTTGATACCAGAACTGAGAAGAAGGAGAGAATGATCAGAGCCACTTTTTGCTACATTTGTGATTGAAGCAGTGGGGAAATCTGCCAGCCAGTCGAGTGATCCAAAGCCTCTGTCTAGTTTAGCTTCTACCAGGCCTTCTGAGTTCCTATTGTTACACCAGGTGAACTTGTAGCCTTCCATTTTGATCTCAACCATGGCCATTCTATTAATGAAATCTCTGAAACCCCTCATGCTTGCTTCAGATCTTCTATTTCCACCTTTCTTCTCAGAATTTGAGATGATGTCGTTCCAGTCGCCAATAATAAACCACTTTGCTCCCCAATGAAGCATATCCTGCTCAAGATTAATCATTTGGTCCCTTCTGATAGTTGGGCAGGTGTTCAGGTAAACAAATATCCCCCAATTCTTTTGGGAATCTTTTTGAGAGTATTCTACTGCAATGTAATAATCTCTGCTGGCTATGTTGTGAATTTGAACCTCAGCATCCCAAAGTAGTAATAGTCCTCCACTCAGGCCTCTAGGATCTACTATATAGTATCTAGAATCATAGCCAATTTTCCTAATAACCGATTTAACAAAACCATTCTGCTTCTTAGTTTCGGAAAGGAATATAAAAGATGGGTGGTGAGTTCTATGTAACTCTCGGATTTGGGAAACCGTAGAGGGCCCACCCAGCCCTCTACAGTTCCACACCGCGGCTAACATCGGTCACTTGGGCGCCATTCGAGGCTGGCCACCCCCACCTTTGCAGAATCAATTTTTGGTTTCTTGTTGCTTTCAGGGTTCTGATTTTGAGGTTGAGTATCTGGATTTTGATCATCATTATCAGTTCTGGTTCTCTTAACTGAAGTGGTTGACACCTTGAGTGAGGAAGTAGAAGGTTGTCTCTGTAGTCTTCCCAATCTAGATTCTGATCTTTTCCATAGCTTAGGTTGAGCAAGTTGCTTAGAATGTGCAGAAAGTTGCAGAGAGTTAGTAGGATTATCAGGGTGCTGAGTGTTGTCAACTTCCATTTCCTGGGGTAGGCATTGGATTTGTTTGTGAGAGGTTAAAACTTTATTGTGAGTTGTTGGAGATATGGGACTGTCTTTAGGTAGATTGGTAGATAAAGGAGGAATGGCTTGAATAGGTTGAGAAGTAGAGGTTTCAGAGGTTGGTTTTTGAATCTGAGATGGTGAGCCTTCAATGGAGAGAATTTTGTTGCTATCATTTTTGTGGGAAGATGGAGTAGGTATTTGAGAGTTAGAGTTTGAA